GTCCCCCTCCTCCTGATGCGAAGTGGCCAAGCACACACACATTCTGAGGGTGATTTCTTCATGAGGTAGGGAACCAGCAAGGGCACAGCAACCCCAGCATCACACCAAAAGGGCTCCGTCATCAGCATCAATCCAGGATTAAGGCTTGCACTAAGAAACATTCTGATTTTTCAAAGGGGTACTTGGTATTCACCTGTTCTGTCAAAAAAAACAACACAAACGAACCCAGAGTTTTGTGACGTTAAGGCTTCCAGTTTTGCTCAGCGTGAGCCTTCCTGAGCAAAGGGCCACTTTTTCAGAGGGAAATAATCAAGCCCTCGATCTTGGATGCATGCCTGCTCTTTATCATCGTGGGGTGGAAAAGAGCGAAAGGGGCTCCAGAAAAGGGCAACTGTATTATTTGCTTCCGTCCTAAAGGTGAAAGCGCTTCCTCGTGGCTTCAGCCAAGACCGATGCTCCCTGGCGGGCATAAAACGTGGCTTCCACACCTCGAAGGGCCGCTGGCATCCGAGTTTTGTGACGTTAAGGCTTCCAGTTTTGCTCAGCGTGAGCCTTCCTGAGCAAAGGGCCACTTTTTCAGAGGGAAATAATCAAGCCCTCGATCTTGGATGCATGCCTGCTCTTTATCATCGTGGGGTGGAAAAGAGCGAAAGGGGGTCCAGAAAAGGGCAACTGTATTATTTGCTTCCGTCCTAAAGGTGAAAGCGCTTCCTCGTGGCTTCAGCCAAGACCGATGCTCCCTGGCGGGCATAAAACGTGGCTTCCACACCTCGAAGGGCCGCTGGCATCCCCAGGGCCGGGGAAGCGCCACGAGCCAGCCCTTTGCAACCGGGTGGCCTGTGCTAATAAAGCAGTGGTCATCTTCGGTGACCTCTTTCGTTCTGCCCCAGGCCTTGAATCAGAAGCAGAGTACCACAGGCCGGACGAGCTTCTGAAGGCGTGTGTGTGGGGGGGCGAGATCCACAGAAGCTCAAGCCCCATCAAGCCTGTGAGTTTCAAAAGA